TGTCAAGTCGACATTACGTGATTTACTCTCTCGAGTTCCTCATGAATGAAACTTATCCTCTCTTTTTATTAGTATATTTGTCAACAGTGTAACAGTAATACAGTATTTCATCAATGAAAGTTAGAGGTAAATGTTTGCTAATAATACCTGTGTGAAAAATTGTGTTTAGTCTTTACCTCTATAATATCCAATAACCAAAATGATCTTTATTCACTAGTTTCTTGGGCTACTGAATTTGACTTATCTTGAACATTGAATAATGCAACACTAAGTCTTATTACTTAACTAAATCTACAATAACATTGCATTTTCTTATCAACAACACTATTGTTCAATCAGAATTTATGCTGATGTTTTGGCTATATTGTTAATTTGTGCTTTGTTTATAGTTATACCTTGTGTCCTTGATTAAATATACATTTAATTTGTTATAAAGCTCTCAAAGTGCTATTCATTATCAGACAAATGTCAGCTAAGTTTTGTTTCACTTCTTGAATTAAGGCGCTGTACTGTTCATTAGAATACAGATCAATTCTAGGTATGGGAACCATACATTGCATGCTGATGATATTGGTAAAAAAAAAGAGTGATATCTACGTAAGTTTTTCAGATTTCAATATTTGTCCTCCCTTGATATAGAATAATCTGATAACGATTATACTCTTGACTCTAGTTTTCAAATCCACCTTTCCAATCGCAGGGTTCCGACTAACTTTAGATTTCTACAAAACCTAATAATGATAATATTGCTTCTCCTCAATTGTTATTTTCGGGGATACATTTTTATGTTCTATCATATTTGGCTAGAATCGTTGTGTTTTTTTGCTCTTAGTTTAATATTAAATATGCTGGTTTTGTTCCACTATTAAATTGTAGGTACTATTATTTTCTTTTTAAGTCTTATATTTTTTTCTCTATAGTGACCTATTAAATATTTTGTACATTTAATTATTATTACGAAGTTTACATTGTGTTTAATATTTTTTTTGTTATTCTATGAATAATTGGGTTTTATCCCATTATATAAATATAATTGTTTTCTTAACCTATAGGTTGAATTTAAGTTAAATGTAATAATTACAATGAAAAGTGGATTTGTTGAGACCAAAAGTTTTAATTGCAGGACAAAAACACTTTTAAATAAACGGATTTCGTTTAATCCTAGGAAAAATCATGCCAACAACGGTATTATATATTGTTTATTTAGCGTAAAATGTATTATTTTACATATAGAAGTATATAAAAAATGAATTCCAATTTAAAATGTAATTAAAATATACATGGTATTATACGTTATTATATGTATATGTATTATTTGTATTGTTTTATTTTATATTTCAGTGATTTTAAAAACCAGTTTTTAATCAAAAATTAAGTATGATTTATTGTTCTGTTATGCCTACTCACTATTACTTATTAATCAACGAGGAATATTATACATTAACTAACTCTTAATTAAAATTAAAAGATATAAAAAATTAACTTAACTTATTCATTAGATGTTGGCATAAAATCAATAATCTATATATTTTAAATATTACTAAAAATATATTGATTACAAAAAAATATATTTGGTAAAGTGTTTAAACATTATGTAACATACTTTATGCATTGCAATATTATACATTATTATTTTATATTAATCATCTACATTTAAAATAAAATGATTAAATTTTATAACAAAAACAAAATAGATTGTTAAGACTCAAAAAACCTATTGTTTTATAGTTAAGATATGTTTAGTAGTAACACTATCGTAATATATCAAATTTTGAATTGATAAACAGGTTTTATGATATGATTATTGACTATCTTATGAGTGAAATATTGATAGTGAATATATTTCAACGGATTGTTCTATACTTAATAATTCAATTAAATAAATAGGTGACGAGTGACAGCATAAATTCAATAATATAATGGATTCATAAAAATTTAGCTAACGGATACTCGACAAGGATTGTTTATTGTTAAGCACCAAGCTCATAAGTATAAAAATATAGATAATCACTAAAAAAAGAACTAAAAATAATCAAAGTTTAATGACTTGCCTCGTTATAATAGCCGTTATAGAGTACTTTCTAAGCTCCGTTTAACCCTCATATTTAACAATAATCCGTACAAGCTAAGCTATTTATTATAATGGTTGTCGAGAGATCGTTTTGGAAAATAAATACGTAAATGTTGTTCTAAAAAGTTGAATATTATGATATTTCGTACGGAATAATGATTACGACGTATTATGATTGCGCAATATGATTCTCAAACGATACAAACACTATTAAAACTATATGGCGTTCGTTATATTATTCAACATCAATTCCACACTACATCGCCAGTTGCAACAAAGTCTTCATTTATTTATATGTAATACTAGTTGGTTAACCTGACTCCGACCAAAAAAAAAAAAAAAAAATGATTAAATATAATATATGGATCTACGGGTATTCATACTTGGTGTATCCCAGTTTTGGTTTACCCCACTTAGTGAACAAATTTTACCGAAATTGGAAATCCACCTGTGGATTGGATATAGGTAGCATTTGATGTATTTTCAAACGTGGTTTAAACTACTCTCCAACTTTCCCTGTCATTTATGACGCGCTTTTACAGATGCTAATATTGAGAATGACGTATTCATTCAAACTGTTTAAGCCTAGAAAATTTAGTAGAAAAATTTAATATTCATACAAACTCAGATTGTTGTGATACTTATGACTAATCATGGACTCAATAGTAGCCAACCGCTTTAGTCTGATTCTTTTTTCAAGCCTTGTCATTATCTGACGAAAACAAAATAGTTAAAAAAAAAAAAGAGGAAGTCTGCAATATTAATAACGTTGCCAAAACCAAATTGAATCGTTGTTTCTTTTATAAATATTCAATTACATCAAAATTGTATTATCAGGCGATGATAAAAAATGAATTCGTAATTCGACTTAACTTTTAGATTCTAAGCAGAGTGATAAAATAATTCAATAATGGTACAAACTATTGTAAATTTTCATATTTTTGAGATTTCTAGGTTTCTGTATGAACAACTCATAAGATACCTTGTCTTTAATTTTCTAGCACAATTAATAAAATTATTTTTTTTATGAACTTTCAAATTGTGCCCATATAATTGTTAATATTTTTAAATTTCGATATAATCTTATGTGGGATCATGTAAAATACTTATTTTTAAATTATAGCAGAGGTTTCAATTGTATGATTTCAAACGCCTATAAATAACTTAAAATTAGTCCAATGTTTTTTGAACATAATAATATAATGCGATATGTAAATAAAATTATAATTTAAGTAAAAGACCAATGTCGAGTTCCTGCAATTAATATTGTTTGAATATTATCAAAATAACCAAAATCGTTTGAAACCTAAAAATTTTAAAAATATATAATATTATACAATTTTGGTTATAAACATTTAACGTTTAAATGTTGACGGAATTTGATTTTTAAACGAAATTTAACTATTTTTGTTACTTCGTTGTAATTCAATATTATTTGTGAGGATTTGAAACTTCTACGTTATTTGTGTAATATACACAATGATCTTTTAAAAATATTAATAATATTTTTAATTAAAACTACCACGGACCTATTTACACCGATATACAATAAGTTGATATTGACTAAACAATTTAATGATAATACAATGATATAAATATTAGGAGATTCATTCAATAAAAAGCACTATTAATTTCAGAAAACAACAACGTTTTTAAAAATATTTCTTTTTCATAATTTTAAGTTTGTTTGCAAACAACATTTTTTACTATTTCTTATTGTTATTACTTTTATGTTTTTGTTCTTTTGAATGATGAAATAGATTTTTATTTCGTAGTCCGATGGAAAATATTATTCAGAGTATTTTGATCTGTAAAATCAAATTTTGGACATGTGCTTTAATGTATTTAAACTTTAGATGAGCAGACTAGCGGACCAATATTTTTCTAGGTACCCCTGTACCACTCCGGTCCACTCATTTTTCGCATGCAATGATTTTTTGTTGATTTCAAATTTAAGGCCTCCACAGTGAACTACTCAATAACTAAGTACCTACATTTTACATTTACCAAAAACAATTAATAACATTAATAACAATTATGTATCATAAATCGATAAACATACTAAAAAAGGTCTAAGAAAATTTAATATGTCTATAAATACCACATCAAGAGCCTTAATTTTTTTTAAATTGTAGAATGTCTACTAGTAAATTATACTATAATTATTTGAAGAAATATATGGAAATATCTACGTTTATACATTTTTAATGACTATTGTTTTGTAAATAGTATTGTTCTTCTGTAATTTGTTTATAATTTTTCCAATCATTTAAAAAATACAGGTATTTGTTTTCTTTCTAATCCCTACCAGAAACCACTCTAAAATTAGATGATCGACGTTTTGTTTTTCCACCAAAAGGTGCAGACAAAAAAAAAAATTTTAAAAACATTATTGTTGTAATACATTCATTGCTCTTCTCAGAATCTAAAAGTAAACTAAAATTAACATTGGCCAAGAAATCCAAGCTTGCAGGAAGAAACCCGGAACATAAATAAGCCATGTTTGGTAATAAAACGATGGCAAGTAATAGGAAGGCACTCGTCGGCGGGAAAAGTCTATACTAAACGGCACGCACTGCGCAGTGCCAGCTGTTCTGGTAAAATGGCCGGGATTTGACTTAAAACTAAAACTAAAAGCATAATAATATTACGTGTACCTACTCGAACGTTGAGTTTAAAAACATTTTCGGTACAAATTTTATAGTTACTCATCGTATTATATATTATAAGTACTCATTAAATTATAATATAATATTATATAGATATACTCGTTATATTATAATATATTATAGATAATATACTCGTTATATTATAATATATTATAGATAAACTCATTATATTATAATATATTATAGATATACTCGTTATATTATAATATATTATTGATACTCGTGTACTTATGATCTCGTGTTCAGACGATCTTAATATTTTACTCACCGGTGAAGGTGTAGAGCGGTGTAAACGGCACGGCCAGCCCGCAGAGCATGATGTCGGACACGGCCAGGTTGACGATGAATATGTTGGTGACGGTGCGCATGTGCTTGTTGGCCCACACGACGTACACGACTAGCACGTTGCCGAACACGCCCAGCGTGAATATGAGCAGATAGACGAACGAGAAAGCGGACTGGAAAACGTAGTCCTCGACGTATTCTCGCTCTATGGCCTCGCTATAGTTGGTGGCATTAGTGCCGTTAGACCCAGGCCCGGCCGGTATGTATATGGGCGGAAAAACGTTGGGCGCCACGTTTTGCAGTGCCTCGAACCCTCCGCCGCCGCCACTGCCGCCACTGCCGTTGGCCATCTCAGTCGTCAGCAGACCGATTTTCGCCTGTTTCACGTCTCTCCGAGCAGATTCTAATGCGATGGAAAATGTACAACGATATTCTTTTTTCGCCCTCCCCTCGAATCTGTGGTCCGGACACCGAGGTTTTTTCCCCGCTTTTTCCGTCAGCCGACCGTTTTCACGCCCGTTTTGTTTCTCTCAGTACGAATTCCAGTGCGATGGCCAATATAATGATATTCTTTTTTCCGAGTCTCTCTCTCCCCTCGAATCTATGCTCGGCAATTCGTCGAACCCGACACAGTGGTTTTTTTCCCCTACTGCCGATTTTTCCGGGCGTTTCTTCTACGCGCCATTCGCCGCCGTATCGTCAATCATTCCGACGACGAATCCGTCTCATGTCTCCGGCCGGACTATCTGTCATCCTGCAAACAATATAATTACGACATTATTTCTCTCTCTATATATACGTCTATATATATGGAGTGTTTGTTGAGTTCAGTGGACAACGTAATCTTTTATACTAAAACGAGAAACATTAATTTGGAGCTCAAAAAGCTACTTTTTGACAATACAGAAAAACGCAAGTATTGTCGTTTAGTCAGTCGCGTCGTTAACGTCCCGATACATTTTTCAGAACAATGTAACAATTTATTTGTTATTATTTATTATTTTAAATTTTTAAATCTTCTTTTCTCACACTTACACAATGGTCTAAAGTATCTGAATATTATTCATTAGTCAATTAGCCTTAAGTGATACTCAAATTTAACTATTAATATAATTTATGTATTAACTTGAAAAAGACCAAAATCACGTCAATAGTCAACAGTCAATACTCCCGTCACACATTCCGAGCTCCTCACAAGAGGGATATCACCCCCCTCCCTCCTCCATTACATCTTGAAATTTAAAAATCTTTAGTTTAAAATTTTTGAAAATTAAATATGTGAAAGATACAACACTTTTATAAACAATAGAGTATTTTAAGTATTTATAACTATTATTATAATGATTAATATTTATTTACTTTTTGGTTGCCGTGGCCATTATATTAGAATGCTGGAGATAAAATATACAAACCTATTTTATATTTTAATAGATGGGATTATAATATTATAATAATTTACTGTCTATAAAATATTGAAATATATAATAGTTTTTCAAGGGACTGACATATTATGTGTAATCTCACTTGTGTAACTTCAATAAATGTTTTCAGTTCATTGAAAGCACCTAACCTACAGGTGGTTATATAGAAACAATTATACTCGATATATGGTTGCCTTACATACTTTCGACGGGTCTCCTACATGGTTATATTGTTTCTATGACACACAAAAGACCCGCTTCATCCATACACGGACTTTCGACATTATCAAATATATTATTTTCAACAACAGCTTTTATCAAAGTTTTAAGGAAAATAATAAGAATAAAATCTTGAATCCACTCCTTGTTTTATTTTATCATGTTGTACATACACAAACACAATACGTGAATATCTATATATTATACCAAAGAATCATCACGTGACAAAACTTATGGTATACAACACCAACATACGAACACAGCGGTCGTATTTTATTATAACACATAATAACCATACACGCAACGCAAGAAAAAATAAGTAAGTAAAATCGACTTTTTTTATATATATTATATACTAATACAATAATCTGTAGAACAATGCACACAATGTGATAACAAAACATGTTTGTATGCCTAACTGAAATAAATAATATTTATCCAATTAAATTGTCTATACCTACTATGAAATATAATACTGTAATATTATACCTACTACCTATTCTACATTTCTGCATAACTTCTGCCTAAACACTAATATTTGGCATTTGCACAATAAATTTATTATTACTGTATAAAATATGACATATTTGGTTACTTTTGATTAAAATTTAACAGTAGACAATGCATATAGGAAAACATTCGGATGATCACAATCATGGTAGGTTGAATAATTGTGTAGGTACTATCTTAAAGTAGAGCATGACGTGAAGTTCATTTCAGAATTATATCAATATTTGTTTAGTAAGAATAGCTTTTTGTTCGTTTATGTATAATATTAGGCTGTTGGTATTCCAAATTATAGGATAAACATTGTATGAAGTATACTTATATTTTGATGCCCATTTATCAGTTTGGATATAATATGTGTTAATTATATTGGTGTTTAAATAAGAGGTAAGAAGGCTAATTAAGATTTTGAAACATTCATGGGATGATATGATAATTTAAGAAATAATTTAGATCTAAGTTGGTAGAAGAAGTGATGTTGAAGTGAGCTGAAGTTGGATTTTAGTTAGAGTATTTCAATTTAATAAATATATTGAGTATTAAAAATAATAATTTAAGTAATAATGTAATTTTATACTTGATATTATAAATTATAATAAAGCCAAAACTCTAGATAATGGTAATATAAATATTTGGTGAAAATTTCAAATGTATGCTCAATAAATTATTTGTGAATTAAAACAAAAAAAAACGTAATCAAGTTCATCATTTATTTGTTTCGCATTAATTCTAACAAAAAACAAAGATTTTTAGTTAATTTTGTTGAAATGAAAAAATATTATGAAAAGGGCATTGAAACATTTCACGCTATTATGCATATTATTATTCATTGAATGAAATTTTCAAAATATTTAAACTAATTTCAAGCTATTATAATATAATGAACCTATTTTCAACGTTCTAAGTTATGCGGTATTCACTTTTAATTATAAGTTAATAATAAATTATAATTATATTTTATATGATATTATTATAGCTATTATGATACATATAATAAATATTATATTCAATTACCTAGTTTTTGGTAAAAATTAGTTCAATTCAATATATATATTAAAATATCCTTAGAAATAAAGGTTTTCACGCTGTCTCTCCTATTGTAATACATTGATATATTATTAAATTCAAACTGAACACATCCATTAAAGTGACTTACTCAATGACCAGGTATACTTAACACCTGCTATACAGCTAGTATACCAATAGGGAGTCCCCAATTTGTTGTACTGCATATTGCATTGTATTAAAATATATTCAACATTTTAATAATTTATTTATTCCCAGCTCGCAGATTAAAAATTCTTAAATTAGTTAATACAATTAAATGTAATTATAAATATAAATTCTAATCATACTTGTTTTGGTTAGAAAATATGCAATTTTAGTTCGTATAACCTGTAGTATTCTAGTATGTGTACCTACTTGTATTTGTATGAAAGTATTAGTGTAGTACGTACTATAGGTATACCTATATATTATAATACATTACCTAAACGGTTCCTGCTGTCACAAACACTCGTGAGTTTCGCAGTGTATTTATATAAATAGGCAACGTAAAATATTTCCTCAGCAAAAATGCCCGGTAAATAAAAACGTGCGTGGAAAAGCATTTGTAAAGTTCAACCACGACGAACCGCCATCAACGGTTCTCTAGAGGTCGAGATAACTATATACTTTTATCCAGGAGAGTTTCTAATATAAAAGACGTAATAAATATTATTGTTACGGCTGTAGTACGAGCCGTTATATATTATATATTTATAGACATACACGCGTATTGTAGCGAATAAGTCATCTAGCCGGTTGGTTTTCCTAAAGAATTTCTAATTTCTGGATTCTTGGTGCACTGCAAATATTTCCTAACCATCATATATATCAATTTATACCTATATACGAGTATAATACTACGCGTATACTGTGGACAGATCTCCAATAGACTATATTATTTATTAACAAATAAAACATTTTACATGCCTATATGGCTATATGGCTATATATATATATATATATATACAATTAACTTTTACACATAAGTTAGGTTAGGTTGGGTTAGGTTAGCTTAAATCTGACTTTTTGCATAATAAACCTTAGCCGACCCGAGAACAAGCATTCCGTTACAAGTACCTATATGAACCTCGATTTTTTTAACAATTAACACCTACACGTAGATGCTATACAATTTACATACATTTACCGAGCTCATAATATCTCTACTAACATCATCATACTCTATATAACACTCCGTCTATCCATTTGTTTCTATAATATCATGGACATTGGACACATTTTCAAGATTTAAATGTAGCATTTTAACCAAAAACTAGACACTATTTTTTTGATGTCATAACAAGTTTGGGCATTATAATATATAGTAAATATGTGCGGATATTTTATATACATAAATAGCTTTTTTATGTACACATTTAGATTTTTTTTAAATGTGCCTCATATTTAAATAGAAGAATTGTTTCCAACTATACAAATGATTGCATGACAATTTAATTTAAATCAATGATGGTACCGTAAAATACAGTCAAGAAATAATTTACTTAATTAAAATAAATAATACAGAAATAAGGCTATGTCTAAAAAAAAATTTTCGTTCCAGCTTTCTTACTACCTGAGCACGTTAATGATAATTTTGTTGACTCCTAAACAATAAGTATAATGATTATATTTTAGACAATTATATTAACGGAAAATACAATTTTCACAAAATATTTACGCCCAAAAGCTCTAACAAATAACGCTAGGATAACCAATGGACCTGAAAAATTGAATAAACATTATAATGCACAATCTTATCATCCACTCCCGAACATACACTTTGACATTTTTATTAATATTAAGACAGAAACTGAAAAATAGTATTAAAGAAAATCAATTAAATAACATTACATATTATTAGGTTGTACGTATGTAAATACTTATAATACCAAATACATAACCGATACCTGAATTCTTATGAAAAAAAGAAATATTTAATATAAGAATCAATAATAAGTTATACAATTTGACTTTAAATTTTTTTAACACATTTTAAACGTATTTTAGTTATTATAAGTATTATTAGCAATTACCTATTAAAATATACAATATTATATGCTTCATAATAAAATGTTACATCTTTGTTTTAACACCTACATTATAATAAATGTATACATTAATATATATATATATATATAATTTTAATTTTAATTAAT